ATTCGTAACAAAGCTGCTGATTATGATAATAGTCAGGAATTTAGAAATCTAAGAGAGGAGATGAATAAATACATAAAAGAGGCTGAAGATAGTTTATCATTGGTAGCGATCAACCGGCAACAGCTTGCCAAGTCCTATGAGCAATTCGTTCGCGACGTGGAGGCATTCACAAACCAGGTAATTGAGCGTATAAACATAATGAGGCAGAAGGTTCTGAGTCAGGCTAAAAACGTTATGTTGAATGACAAGAGGAAAATAGACGATTTACAGAAAGATACTGATGACTTAATAGCTGATTTGACACGCCAAAACAATCTAATTGAGTCGAAATGCGATACACCGAACAAGCTCTTTGTATCTTGTCTACAAGTGAAACCAGAATTAAAAAGAACCCAGCATAATTTGGTTTGCTTAAGAAAGAAGTATAAGTTTATGCAAGACAAAACTCTAGCTGAATCTATTACAGAAAACAAGGTGATCGGAACGCTCATTGAACAGTCGTCGGAAAAAAGTATGCAATTTTTACTTTTGTAGTTGTTTTTGTTTGTCTGGGCTTTTTTTCCATTTACAATGAAATGTCTTTTTATGAAACATATCATATTATTAAGAATATGAAAAACGTACAAAAATAATGTGTATCATTTAAACATATTTTAGTAACCGTTTAACAATCATCTGATAAATATAACGATTATATTTTATTTGAACATGAACACATGACATGTTTTTTAATTTGATGTTGCTCTGTGTTCAGCTGTCTCCATTTGAGATATTTTAGTTAACCATCGTATTTGAGTGTAATATTTATGCATTTTAGGTAAACAACATCAACATGAATTCAAGCAAATTGATTCGGCTGATGAAGAACAAGTTCGTAATCCTTCTCCTCAGGCAAGTCAATATAAGAATTTCCATTTAAAATCTTATTACCATCATAATTATAATATTTATATATGAAACGATTTACAAGAAACACAAGAAAGAAAAGGTGAACATACAACAACAAATTGTAACGTTCAGGACTGTCATTGACGCAAAAATACCTTGAATATGCAAACATATAAAACATCATATTGACTTATTGACCTAATGTCAAAATAACAACACCCGACAGATCAAAATAGGCATACATGGACACGTGACATTTATGGATACATGCAGAGTCATAAAAGTGACACTTCGCTTCAGATTTAAATATTTTAATTTCTGTCAAAGCAAATTATGGATTAAATCCGAAAAGGAATGTTATCACCTGAGATAAATAATAATAATTCGTAATAAGGTGCATATACTGTAGATAAGAGGGTATTTACCCATATATCTGAAATAACTCCGAAAATACAAACAGGGTACTGAAAAGGGGAAAAACCCTTGTAAGGCTAAATGGGTCTGTCATGCACAACCTGACTTGTATGTAAGCGCTGTTAACATTGATATGAAAATCAATGTTTATTTATTTATTTAATTATTTATTTATTTATTAGTTATGTATTTATCTTTTTATTTATTTTGTATTATTTATTTATTTCACTTTTTATTTGTTGTAATTTATTTTTTCTATTTATTAATTTTCTTATTTATTATGATATATCACTATTATTTTAAATAATGTGATTTATATCCAAAGATGAAATCATTATCTTTGGTATCGCAATAACACATTCCTTTTGTTGTTCTCCGAGTATATAATAATGTGTCAAATACAATTTATTCTAAGAAACAAGATTAGCATATGGACATGTTTTAATTTAGATAACATCTTTATCTATTTGTGCAGCATGCACAAAGTGAAATGAGAAACAAGCAGATTGGTAAGTTATATTTCTCAACTAAATTTTATGTAAACACTTATTTTTCAACTTTATTGTTTGGCATTTATCAATTTACCGCGCAAACAGAAATTAAGACAATGTTTTTATCTTTGCCTCATTACTTAATTTTATATCATTTCTGTCAAACATGCACGGGGTATACCTATAATGAAATTTTATAACACATTTATCTAATTTGAATTACTTACATCAATGTTTCTGAAATATTCTAAATGTTAGCTATCAACATTATAATGTTTAAATATGTCTAGTATTATGTAATCCTTTAACGTTTATTGTATTAAAAAATGAAGTGGCAGAGACATGTACAAGAGAAGATACGATGAATGTTATAGCGCCCCAAAAGCTTCAAGTGAGTTATTTATATCGTAAATGTTTAAGTGAAAACACATTAATATACTTCATCGTGATGGCAGTAAATTTCACTTTTTCTTTCTGGCAAATATTATCGGTATTTCGGCATATATTGCGGATTTTATGTCAAAGCTTCCTTTCAGGGGCATAAGTAAATTTTCAGTTGCAGCTCTTGTTTGTTTATTAATATAGTATACCTCATCATTCAGTTGTAAGAATTTCAGTTAAAACAATGTTAATAGATTGCAATTTTAGAATCAAGTTAAAATTTAAGTTAACGGCAACTCACATTCAACCTAGGTATATAAAAAAGTTAATGATTTGTGGGTGTAATTTCATTCAAAAGTGTATATTCTTTATACAAAATGTATGATTAATGAACATTATATTAGCAATCACGTTAAGGAGGAAAAATGGTTTATATAAAATACCGTGTCACTTGAGTTTTGCTTACATATAAAATGGACGTTAACATATACTCATTTTTGTTGTACAAATACGAAGACTGATTCAGTAAAATGCCTGAGTTATTTATAAGTCAGTTAAATTTACAATAAAAAAAAGTGTGTAGATATATTAATGTACTTGTAAAGTTAAACATATATGTTCTTTAAGACTTGGCATAATTTAACTGCATCAAATCAACTGCAAAGCTGAAGTACTTTCTGACTTCAGAGCAAACGGTTTTATGTGATCAATCTATAAAATTATCTAAAAAGAAATATAATTAATAATGCGTATGGATTTTTTAACCATTTTACCCAGGTTCTACTAATATCAATTATTTTAAGTTGTAAAACATGAGCCAACAATCCCCCATGTTTAAAATAATTGCCAGATAATTGGTGATATCTTTTAATAGCTGCCATTTTTTGCTTTTTTTGCTTTTGCTTTTAAAAAAGTCATGCATTTTCGTAACAACCTGTGAATTATAAACAATCTTCCTTACAAATTGTGAAGTATAGAACGTAGCTTCTCTCTGTATTTACCATAACGAAATTAAATGTGCATGAGCCTGATAGAAGCAAAAAAGGTTCAAAAGAGATAGACGAGGGTTAGGTGAAGGTTCAATTTAAATTAAATTTGATTTATTCAAGTTTCGATTTATTTACATAACTGCACAATTAGGGTTGTTTAATCAAAGAATGCCATGTGTATATTTTTATTTGAAGATTTTTAAAATATAGTTTTCTATTTTTCCGTTACTCACTTAAATGTGTGTTTTTTTTCAGCCATTACTTAACAGAAAACTAGTTTGCAAAAATCTAAAAATGGACGGCGAATGTCTCAGGTCAATATTTTATTTTATTTTGTTTTCAAATCAAACCCGTATCTGTTACGATGTACTATAAGATGATGCAAGTAAAAATAAAGTTATTTTTAAAGCTTTATGTAATAGTAAGCATAATGAAAGATTGACATATCTATAGTTATATATTTCGATTAAGAACAAAGAAAGAACGAAAATGATATCAATTGCATAAAATATACGTTTCCAAGTTATTTATACCGTAAATGTGATAAACTGTTACCGTATTTTATTGTATATATCTAATTTTTGTTTTCATGAAAGTGTTATTATGCCCATTAGAGGGTACATAGTGACTGAAAAGGTAAAAGTCAAAATTTCAAAAAAGTCAAACGTTTTTATTTAGACATGTCATTCCTTTCAGTCTTATAATTTGCTATATATGAAAGCTAAAATCAACTCAAGTGCCGCAAGGAAATATAAATATCCAACGGGATTTATTGGTAACGTTCATTTTTTAAGAACAAGTGGTGTAGTCTCTATATATATTTTAAACATATTTATATTGTAATGATCACATTTGCAAAGGTAAATTGTTGATTAATCAACATTTAATCAGTCAATCTCTTGAAAAAATACAGTTAAATCAGATCATCTTGACAGTGACAAAATGTTAACAATGTCACTTTAAACATAAATATTGATAACATAGACATTAGGTCCTGCTACAATTTCTTCTTTCAATGTTTTCATTACATATAAAGTATAATTGACATGAATAACACAAGATAATCATCAGCACCTTAAACAAACTTATTAAATAACTAACTTAGAATTTTCGTCAAATTAAGTTAACACTAAAAAGTAACGGTAATTGATATATCAGCAAATAGGCATGGGTTGACACACAATGAAAACAAAAATGCAATCGGGATTATAAACAGTTCTTCATACTCTTTCTTTATAAATCATGATTTGCAACAATATAAATCATGATTTGCAACAAATGATTACGAGTAATATATATTTGTTTTTTACATTTGTTGCAGTTATACTGCGGTTGAACATAATGGTATTGGATTGTATGTGTTCAAGGAGATTGCACGTAATGAAACATCTATTGAAATTGAGATATTAAGAATGGGTACAAGCGGGTCTTTAGGTACCATTTAATATATACTTATTGTATAAATATGCGAACGGCTTATAAAGTCAGTTCGTACAATAATAAAAAATAATTCATAATTGCTCGTATTAATCAATAACTACACCATTTTGGCTAACACGTCATTGTTATAGTTGGTGTTTATTCATTAGTAACATTTTATATTTTACATAACGATTTTTCTGTAACGTTGTGTGTAGCCTTTTTCATTTAAATTCAAATAGTGTTAATGATTTATTTGTAATAAATAGAAATGTATCACCATATCAAATGAAATGTTAGATTAGTTTTTATTAACACTTTCAATTTAAGTTGAAAACGTTTGTTGTTATATTTCCGTCACGTACACATAGGTTAAAGAAAATAAAAATAGAACGTGTAGTATATATTTATATTCTAGCTATTGGTGTAGTGCCAGATAACTATCCTGACAATCTTCTACCGGGCGTAGGCAATATTCCTGTGGATACCATTCAGACGGCAAGTATGTATCGACAACTTTATTGTCTAAATATTTATTATTTTGTTCTGTCTTTAAGTTACTGATGTGTGTATGATTGAAAGAAAACAGTAGTATGAATGCATACATCATTAAAACTTAAAACAGGTTAATAAAAATAACTTTTCTTTCCTTTTTTATCATTTCGTAAACCTTTTAGAAATGTACTCGTATTAAAATGCAATATATGGACAAAAATAACAAAATTTAGCAAACTATAGTTAAAACCTTAGCTTGAAATATTGTCATTTGCTTGGTACTTGACCAGATGTTAAAGTATAAGGTGTCAATTTTGTTTAAGCATAAGCTTTTAGTAGACTAAGGTTTAAATGTGTCACATGAAATGTATCCTAGTTACATTCACTAGCTTCTGTACATGTAAAACAAAACTATTCTTTCCATCACTCGGTAATTTTCCTTAAATATGAATATGCAATGAGTGCTTTTATTCAATAATTATTCATTATATGTATTAGCAGATTCAAAACAGTTATTATGTATGACTTAGAATGAAACTTTCTGCTGACAATAAATAACAATTACATTTCTATAAATACCATGTTCCGGAGTCTCCAGTTTACGTAACTAACGAACGTTTTCCAAATGTTAAGTAAACGGAGAGTTTTCGTTTCCAAGAAATTTTACAACCATATTCTTATTAAATGTATGTTAGGAATGTTTAACTTAGTCTCTGTTATTATCTTAATTTATGTTTGAGTATTTTACACTATTGGGACAGTATTTCTGTAGTATAAGCATTTTTTTCTGTATTATTCTATTCGAATTGTGTTCTACAATTGCAGTTGATTTAACACATACATGTACTTAATTTTGAAATAGTTTCTGTGATTTAAGACCTTCCGAAACATTTTCTTTTCGAATTTAGGAAATACATGTCCACCCATCTTAAACAAGATAAACACAGTTAGGGTTTAAATGAATGTGTAATTAATTGTCATCAGAACCGTAAACCTAACAGGTGTCTTTTGTCTTCAAGTCTTGAATCTAATTAGTTCATTCTGAAAAAAATGTCAAACTCGATCAGCGATTTCATATCATACGAGAGATGATCAATAATAATGTAGACTTTTGATGTGACTGATAAATGGTTCAACACATCGTATATAAAATAATGTCATCATTAATGTAATTACGTCAAGCAAATTCTTACAAAATATTTGAAAATAACAAGTCATTGAAAAAGTACATACAAAACAAAATGGTCAATGTGGTCTACCTGGTAAACGTCGTAGATCATTTCATAACGTCTTTTGCGTAGTTACTTTAGGCGCCGTTTATAAAAAAAGTAAATTGTGAACCATACAACTATTTGTTCAAATTTTTATTCACATTAATTTTACTTTTTACTGCAATGAATATATTGTTGGAAAATATCTGTAATTCACTGATGTTAATAAATGCGACACCCTTACTAGTAGCCTAAATTTTAAGGTATCAGAACCGCATTTCCTATGGAGTTTCTTTTTTGTTCATGGGTGAATATATGCCACCGTAATACACCGTAGCCATATCAGGCGAACACACACTAATTGATAAATAGATAGTGTGGACAATTGGTTTATCTAACGCGTTTAAAAGCGTGCACAACTTTAAATTAAATTTAAAGTAAAATCCACAATGAATGTATTCAACACACTGTACACTCTTTATGTAGGTTTGCTATAATAATTAAATATTATGTTATTGGAGACATATATATTTAGTGATATATCATAATTACATCCAATTAAATGAGATTTTCAAATTGCTTAATGGTATCCGTTCTTTGATGACTAAACACTCAGTTCTCAGATCGTCAATCGTCATGTGCATCGAATCGAAACTTTACGTCACTTTTGTCACGTCGTATTCTGTATTTTATACACGATCCGATGCTCTTCTGTACTTCCCTTGTCGTCAGAAAACCAGTATTTTTTTAAACAATTAATTTAATAAATAGAATAAATATTACAATTGATGATCGTTAGACAATATTACAATAGTATTTAATAAGATGTTATCTTTATTTTTGACAATTGGTAACATTTAGAAAGCGAAAACAATTGAATGTTACAATGTACATGCTACATGCCTTTTTTCAAAACCAAAAACAAAGAACAAGACAAACGTATATTCATTTAACGGTAAAAAAACTAACGGGCTAAAGACCTCTCTTAAAATCAAGAATATTTTAAACAAAATCAGAAAAGATTTAGTCCTGGTCTATAGTTATTTCATGTAGAAAGCAAATCTTAAGTTCTTTGATTGAACAAAAATGCCATAACATGAAAACTTGATATACATTATAACGTATAGATGCTTCATTTGATATGTTCAACATTTTATATCGTAAATGATGAGCTGAAATAAAACAGAGTTATTGTCTGATATGCTCATATAAATGAACAATTCAGCCACGAATGTATTTTAGTAATTTATACGAGTATTACCTTTTTCTTAAATACTAGAGTATACGTTAGATAAACAACATATTTTATTTATAAGATTTTTGATTGTGCATTTCGTTTTAAGATAATGAACCGGTTTAAAAAAAGAATGTCGTATTTTATTTGAATATCTCAGCAAAACGTGTTTAATATACCATATTTATGTTAAACGTTACCATGTTTATTATGAATTCATAACTTTGTATAAATAAATAAGGACTTACATTGCTTTAGCAATATGAAAGAAACTATGTGTTTGCAATTTTATAAACGGAAGCCTTAAAATGGTAAGTAATATTAACGCAATTTCACTTTGACATGGTTAGATTGGAAATATTGTTCGAAAATAATGTTTTTATTTGATATATGTTAAGACCAATATATTGAGTGCAATGTAATTCGTAATATTAAAATCGTCCAAAACCGAAAAGCGTTGTAACGTTTCTAACTCAAATCGGGTTTAAAATACCTAACAAATACGATTTCCAATATATTTCTGAGAATATTCCTAAATATGTGTGCAAACCTTTCTGTATTTAGTGTTCAAATTAATCTATGTTAGAAATTTAGATAATATTATCATGATTTTAGGATTTTTGACCTCAGTTGAATTCCTGCAAACACAACATCTGAAATGAATAGAATATTTATCCACGATCAAATGTGTATGTAATTGAACAAGAACAAATATCAAAGTTATTTCAAAATTGTTGAGAATCCACTCACATACATACAACTATTACTTAAAATTACATGATCAAAGTATGAACATAATCTGATTGTAGTTTTGTCACAGTTAATTTACTGTGAATAGCGTTATTTGTTTCATTTACTAGAAAATACTCGTGTTTTTTTTTCTTCACACACACAATAATGAGCTAAAATGACAAGTAATATTACAATGAACTAACTACTAACAGCAATGTATTTTAAATCAGTATGAATGTAAAATATTATTGAATAAAGAACGTTCCTCTTATAAAAGCACTGCCTAGAGTTAAGAGTTTTATATTTGACATATCTGTATTCTCATTTCTACAAATTGACTCAAAGGACTATGACCTTTTTTAATAAATACCATATTCGTTTGTTTAAACATGTCATCTATAATTTATTTAAGGGTATTTAGCGGAAGCAAATCCGGTGAAAAATTTGGAGATGCATGGAAAGTCGGCGATCGAATCAAGTGCACAGTTTATGAGTAAGTATTTTAGCGTTGTTCGTTTCTACTGAGTTGCTTTATTAGATTTAAACAGAAGATTTTTGTATTTTTTTTAATAAAAAAGCCGTCAAACGTTCAAAGTAGACATTATCAATACGGTATGATATGCTATTTCTGATATATCAGAGCAGTGTGACATTAAACATTTCTCAATGTTAACCGTATCATATTGAAATACCGTTTCTTAAATCGATGACTTAAAACATGCGATAAATGTTTCAAACTTTGCAAAACCAGTTTTCAAATTACTTAAGTATTAAGATCAAATTGAAATAAGTTCTTTATTTTACAGTCTGTATTCCGTTCGTATACGTTAGTCCCATAAGTAGATTAGTAGCAGATTTTTAGAAAAAATAAACTTGTTTTTTCTGTTATATTATATTTATCACATACTTGTTTGTTATTGCGATCCAAAAGACTTACCATTGAAGTATGTGTATTGGCTGGATCTAGAAGAAAATAGCACTGCAAGACACCAATGAAATTACGAAACATATGATTCACTGCAACATCCTTTTTTCATTGTTAATAAAAAACAAAATTACGCACATTATTTCATCAATATTTAAGTAATAATAAGTATTAAACAACTATCCTATCTTCTTTCGTGAATATCGGATACATGGATGCTTTCAAAGCGCCAGCGGGTTTTTAAAGTACGATGGTTTCTGCAATTGTTTTATTACAAATGAAAGCGCTATTCTTGCATACACATATAACTCTGGTCGGAAAATAGTCAACTAGGTTATCTTTTTTCGTATTCAAAAACTGACCTACTTTTTCCATGCGAGTGTCATGTCATTTGGTACTTTCATTGATAATTATTCATCATTATAGCCACATATATAAACATGTTGCCCCGTGACTCATCTATTAAAAACATAAAATATCAGTGAGTGCTCGCGTGTTGGTATGCGGTTATGCATTTCTTTTTCTCCGTTTATCTATACCTCTTATAACTGAACAACTTCTCCCACGGTAACCAGCAATAACTTCAGTTGTACCAACATTATTCAACCGCTTCTTTTAAAAGTATCATAATTTCAAGTAGTGTCCCTAATAACGTATAGTAACAAAACAATATACATGTATCAAGATGATCGAGGCATTATTAATTTAATAGAAACGTGCTATATATTACCTACAAAAGTTTGCATTAAACTAGCGGAATGTCTGAAAGCATAGGCAACATTTGTAAAAATAGTTCAGAACTATTCATGATTAAGGCATAGTTTTGTACTGTTCTGCTGTAAACATGGTTTACACAGTTAAGCCGTCAAACTGAGTAAAATATCATAGAGAAGAATTATGTCGATGCATTTCACTAGTGTCGTGTCTAACAGTATTAACCGTATGTAAACTATAGTACATGCCTGATTTTTATTATAAATAAAGGGTTTCTCAACATGGTGTTCAATTACATATGCAATAGTTATACATGTTATGATGCGCTAAATGAATTACTTTTACTTTTTTTACCACATTGACGGTACCAGATTGAATATTAAAACGTTGTTTATACATAGTACTTCATTAACGCTATGATCGATGTGTTTGATCGATAATTATTCTTTTCATTGTTTATTTTGATTATTTGCATTAATTGTTGTTATGTATAATGTCAAAATTTATTATGCTTATATAAACCAGCTATTAAAATGATGGCTTTAATATGGTTCTGTGTTAAATTACATATTTAATTGACATATTTTCCTAGACAAATGATCAAAATTGTTATGGTATTGTGTTTTGATTAACACTATGTATAATGATTGAATGAAACTTTTTTTACCATTGTGCTGTCTTAAGAATACATATATAATTACTGACATAAAGCATTAAGTTATGAACTACTCCAATAAAAAGTTTAAAATTGTTCTATTTGAAGATAAAATATACGCTTCTTGTAAAAAATACACTCAACATAAGTGTTCAAATTATCAATCAATCACATATATCGATCGTGCTATGAGCGTTTTGGAATTATATATTTTAACTAAGTCGCAATCTAAAACTATATTGTTAGTTTTGTTAAATATTTATTACAAGGATATGTTAGATCACATGAACGTTTAAACTGTATTTAAATGATTTTAGTCACATTTTCCGTTATTTAAGTATACGACATCATTATCTAAACTTGTTTGTACATAATACTAAATTATGCTATTATACCTAAGTGAATATGACATGTTTTTATCCTAAGTTCACATTGCTGTAAATTTAATTTGGCATTATATTTACTTGATTATATAGTTTGTATGTCAAGAAATTAAACAAAAACTTCTAGTAATGACTTAAAGGCCATTGGTCAACGTATCCACGTGCAAATTTTAATATTTGAACATTTAGAACAAACATTAGTTTGTTTATGTTTCATAATGTACGCGTAACTGTAGACTTACCCTTACAAAGTCCAGAATAACACAAACACATAAATGAGTTGCTACCTTTTATGCAAATGCGACCTAAAACCGCAAGAGACGTACATATATCCATACTTAACATACATATTATTATTATAACACTATTTTGCAGTGATTCTTGTAACATAATTTGCATGTACGTACATATTGTGGATTAACATGATAATAAAAAAAGTCGCTGATGGTGATCCATTTGTAGACCAGCGTTACATGTTTAAACCACAACCATCGATAGACTCGTAATTTAACCCGGAAAAGGACGACGATCTCGACGTCCGTAGCTCAATAACAAGAAGTAAAGAGTTATTTACTGTGTAAAAGAGATTTGTTTCTTGAATATCAACGACCATTTAAAAAGAGAATGTCGTAAAGAAATATAATTAAGAAAATATAATTATATTATGTGTTTGATTGGATGTTTACCTACATTTTATTAGATGTCACCTAATCATCATGCATAAAGTTAGAACACACAAACAAACAAAACACGAAACAACAGAAATGTTAATGAATACATATTTTTTTTTAATTCAACGCATCTTGTCATCTGGCAATGTTTTGCATATCTTACTAATTATTATTATATAAAATATTGTTGCTCAATAAGAGTATTATATCAATAAAAATATCTTATTTTCAAGATCGTTTAGTGTTGTTTTGCTGACAATAATGTCCCGCAATAATATGTTTTCCAAGGCGTGTCATTTATAAATACAATACCTAGTGAATAAGTGAAACAGGATATTATTCCGTAAATATTGTTGATACTAACTGCTTCATAATTGGAAGACTTACAACAAATATTACCGATTTTATAATTTAAAATTAAATAGCTTTATGCATTTGATAGACTTCAGAGCTGCATCCATCCAGATGAGCAAAATATTTTAAGAAAAATAAAACAATAAAAGAGTTGAGTACTAGGTGTCATATTTGCAAAAAATGAGTAGTTTAGATGTAGTTATCACAATATTTCTTCTGCGTTATTATCACCTTAACGTGGATTGTAATTATCGTTTGCAACGTGTAAAATAACTTTTTTATCACTTCACAATAGTTTACTTTTAAATGCTTTTTCAAAAATTTCATGATGATAATTATGAATTTGTTGGCATGCTGTTTTAAGTAAATAACTTATTTTCCAGCATAGGTTTTAGTTGTCCTCTTGATACTATACTACTGTAGCTGTCTTCTTTTTTACAAATAACTTCGTCATTTAAGTTGTGATATGATTAACGAATAATAAATTTATACGTTCTAATGTCGCTATGCTGGCCTAATAATGTTCAATGATTTAAACAAGAGGTAAATTTGACTAGAACATTTTTAGAAAAGCAATAGTTAAATGTTTATGGCAATCTTTAATCTTAAAACTTTATATTAAATAAATTGTATTAAAATTTGTATATTGATATATAATTGTCATAAAACACAGTATATTTTTAAAGCAGACTCATAATCAAAGAAATAGTTGTTCATCCTAAATCAAAAGATCCAAACATCAAAACACAGAAATGCAATTGATATAAAGAATGTCAATTTAATGTATTCGCACTGTCACTGGTCACTTTATATCTACAGAAGAATATATAATATAATTAAGTACCACAATTTAGGACGATGAGTTACGCACGATCTATATAGTGCTAAAAATAAGAGTATCTAAATGTGAGATATCGACTCCGCACTGAAAATAATATTCCTATTATACGGAAATGGTAGTGTCAATGTATTCTAGGACGCAATTAACACCTTTTTTATTATTTAAACGCTTTAATGTTAGATCCTTGCAAAATATACAAGCTCGTAATACTTCTTTTAGTTTGTGGATACTTTTATCGTTTAAATAAAGGACGCCAACAAAGCATAAGTTGTAAAAAAAATCATTGACATTAGATACTAAAATGACAATGTAAGGAAAATGTAAACCACACAATATTATAACATTTTACTTTATATTGGAAGAAAGTAATTGAGCCGTGTCACGACAAAACCAACATAACGGGTTAGCGACCAGCATGGATCCAGACCATCCTGCACATCCGCGCAGTCTGATCAGGATCCATGCTGTTCGCTTACCAACCCTATTACAAGTAGAAAAAACTGATAGCTGGTCGCAAACGCACTATGTTTGTTTTATCGTGACACGGCTCAATTGAATTAAATGACGAATAAATATTGCAACACTAACAAATTTTAGTATAATTCATTTAGGCGGTGTTGTCATTTCAAAACAAAAAAATAGTTAAACGAGATAAAAGCCTTATAGCCAAACATGATATAAAAGTTATAAAGTAAATGTTGCTCTACACTTTAAGAGAAACGGAACTTGTTCTTCTATTCTGTCCATTCTATGCACATGTACGAGTAACTGAATAAGTAATTCAAATCCCCCGTATATGTCTATGGAAATAAAGGAAATCAACTCGGGAGAAAATGATTTACTCTAATACAAATATCGTTTCTTTTTTTAACAATGAGGTCACTTATAAAGAACCGATTATGTGATGATTGAATAAGTTGTCATTTGTGCTTATTTTGTAATAACAATATGCACTTATACTGTTGTTATCATTATTCTTTTAATTATAAAAATAATC